AAAAAAAAAAAAAGAACCAGACAATCAAAAACCTCCAAACAAACAAAAAGTTATATCTACTTCCTACTATATTTATTGATTGATTGAATGTCAGTCATGGAGCTTGAACTCCAGGCCTGGGCAATTGTCCTTGAGCTCTTTTTACCCAAGGCTAGCGCTCTACTTCTTTGAGCCACAGCTTCACCTCTGGTTTTCTAGTGGTTTATTGGAGATAAGAGTCTCACAGACTTTTCTGCGGGAGCTGATTGTGAACCACAATCCTCAGCAATCAGCCTCCTGAGTAGCGAGGATTACAGTTATGAGCCACTGGCACCCAGCTACAATAAGAGAAAGAAAGCACAATACCCTGAAGTCAAGCCCCAGCACCATCACATTCCCACACATGTACATGCATACCAATGAAATTGATTTCCCTCCTAACTACTGTTAAGTAATTTTTAAAAAATCCTGTCACTCAACCTGTAGTGTTACATGTATACAAGCTACACACAGTTTTGTATAGGGACATGTACTTGGAGTCTAAAATTAGTTATTTTTAGAAGATGGACCTTTCATTGATCAAAAGCCACCAAACCCTTCCATGACAAACGGGAAATTGTCATGAGTGACCTCATTCTCCTTTCTCCCCTCTGCTATGAGAGCTCCCCATGGCGTGCCTCTTCAAAGCATCAGTTACTTCAGATACAGTATTGTTGAGGAGCTGGGAAGGTGGCTCAGTGGTAGAGCGCTTGCCTTGCGTGCCTGAGGCCCTGTGTTCGATTCCTCAGCACCACATAGCAAAAAGAAAAAAGCTGGAAGTGGCACTGTGGCTCAAGTGGTAGAGCGCTAGCCTTGAGCTGAAGAGCTGAGGAACAGCGCCCAGGCCCAGAGTTCAGGCCCCAAAAAATAATATAAACAAAACAAAAACAAAATTGTTGGAACTTTCATTAGAAAAAAATTAAAAGAAATGATTCCACCAAATCTCACTTCCAATAACAAAGGCATAAGAGAAAAGAATTTACAAAAACACTTCAAAATATGTAGGAAAACTCTGGCCCTATATTTATCTGTATTGGTTAAAATGAATTACACAGTTTGGAAAATGGGAAGTAAAATGAACATGAAGTTAAAATACTTCTATCACAAATAAAAGCACTTTAGTAAAACACCAGTTAATAACAAGTAAATGACACCTCTTTTTCCATACACCAAAGATAGCCAAAATACTTAACATCTGACAAAATGAAGCACAGATAACATGGTTGTAAGAGGGAGTCCTAGAGGCAACCTAGAGGCCTAGAATTATTGTAGTCATGGGAGAGTGGAGAATTCCAGAGAGTCACGGGAAGAAAAGTTAGCCACTGTGGCTTAGAATAGCAGAATTACCAGCTACAATGACCACCACCACTGCCAAACTCTCATGTACCTGCAGCTGATGAGCTCTAGTTTTTTGCATGATTCCTACAGAAGAGGGGAAAGAAGTCATTAAGAAACCGTTACTTTTTGAATCTACCACATGTTGGAAAAAAGACAAAAGGTTTAGCTGGAGAGCAGCAGGATAAAAGACATCTGGTAGCAGGAAGAAAATCTGAAGATAAAACATTTTTTTTTAAACCTTGAAACTTACACGAGAAAAGGATGCGAAATAAATTAGATTAAAATGGAAGCATGAGGTTAAACTTTCAAATATTAGCCAAGAGAGTGCAATAGAGGTGATGGTTCTGGTTAAAATAGAAGGCCAGGGCTGGGAAGGTGGCTCAGTGGTACAGTGAGTGCTTGCCTTGCATGCATGAGGCCCTGGGTTCCATTCCTCAGCACCACATAAGCAAAAAGAAAAAAGCCAGAAGTGGTGCTGTGGCTCAAGTTGTAGAGTGCTAGCCTTGAGCTGAAGAGCTGAGGGACAGCGCAAATGCCCAGAGTTCAGGCCCCATGACTGACCAAAATAAAAATAAAAATATTAAAAAAATTAGAAAGCCAGGCATTGGTGGCTCATGCCTATAATCCCAGCTACTTAGAAGAGGGAGACCTGAGGATTGTGGTTTGAAGCCAGTCTGGTACAGAAAAATCTGAGAGACCCCTTATCTCCAAATAATCAGCCAAAAGCTGGAAGTGGAGC